CAAAGAAATCGTACAATATAGGTATATGTCGATTTGCAACATGCAATAAATATTTTTAAATATAATTTATAAAAGGGGTTTAGACTTAAAAACAAATGCTATTTTGGAAAATTACAAAAAGATAATATTCTTATACAAAATACGATTTTATTTCATTTCGATTTACCATAGGCGCAAATCCCCCTATAAGCTCCCTGGCTTAGGGGGTAATAGCGCCCCAATTTCAAAATCAGCACTCTCAATTAATGTTCGTGATTATGTATCGTATTAACGTAGGTAGATACTGTCATAGTTTTGTATGGACCAAAATATTTATCAATTAATGTTTATTTTTCGTTTCAGTAATTTAGATTATAATATATAGCATATGAATATTAGACCAGGAGTGKCTAACTGGCTGCTCAAGTCTCATTAAGATAAAACCAATATTTACTTACTAACGATAAAATTATAAAAATTATAAAATGTATTTACAAACATTTTGGCTCTTGATGTAATTGTATTTATCCGTGTGGCTAGTGGGCGTATATTCATGTTGGCCACCCGCCTGTTATAGACAATAATTATTATTCTATCTGTCTATATTTTCAACGCGTGGTGTATTTCAAAATAAGTTATGATAGTAATAAGAAATAAATACCTAAATCACCAATAAAAAATCGTGAGGCCCTTTTTCGTCACACTAAGCGCGAGGCCTTGTGCGGTCACATTTCGTGTACACCCCTCACGTCATCAGTTCATCACTACCTTGAGGATTGCCCCCAGCAAATTAACATGAGTCGTTTTATCTTTCTACCTATATAAATCACGTAAACTCGTAACAGAATAAATTCAAATTTAATYATTTAATAACACATCCATTAAAATGTTCAGTGACTCACGCGACAAGAAATGTAGTAATGTACAGCAAAGCGGTACCCACTTGCCCATATTTTTAATATACGTCGAGTAACGATTTTTACCCAGTTGGTTCACATGTGACGTTGTGTCGTTGTGACATTTCGGAAACGTTACAAACCATTGTGACGACGAACGATGAGAATACATGTAACAGGAACGTATGCAGTAATCGTTATGGGCGTTGAGTGGGTAAACTATACAACTAAATCTATCGCCGTCGCATTCACAAGCACCGATGCCACCGCCGTCAAAACTGAAGAAGAAACGCGACTAATCCCTGTGACCCTGGTACTCAGACTCCGATAACGTGCGTATGTGTATCCCTGTAGCCGCCAACATTTTAGATTCTGAACGAAGTGATTGTATTGATTTTACAATGATGTGTGTTTTTTTTTTTTGTGTGTCTGTGTTCAGCATAACTAGTCGAAATAATGCTTCGATTTCAAACTTTGGGGGTGTTTTCCGATGTAAAATTGAAGATCCTTGGTGCATTATAGAGGTCAAAAGTAAACATTTTCCAACAGTTTTCAAAAAATCGAGAAAAACAAAAAAAAAATGACAGAAAAACTGGAATTTTTACGCAAAACCCGTTTTCGACCAAATCGATATTTTTATATGGTTGTTATTCAAAAAATAATCACTGTAAATACTTGAAATTTAAACCAAAT